AGGAGTGCACCAGGTTTAGCAGCATTTTGGATAAGCCCAGCCCAAGAAAACTCAACTTGAGCTACTTTTGTGAAGGTAAAACGCTGCTTTGCTTCCCCCAAGAGGTGTCCCTGGCACTGGGATAACCCCAAAGCTCCTGGTGCCAGCAGGCTTAGGTTTCCAGAGGATATTCCACAGGGAGGGGTGCTCTGTATGGATGCTGATTGCTGATGCTATTCCTGGTTAAACAAGAGCCAGAAAACAGGACCCCAGAGGGTGCTGAACTGGGCACTGGGGATTTGCTCCCTGCTCTGTGTGGGATGTGCCGGGGTGATGCCAGAGCAGGAACAGCCTCCCTTTCTTACAGCATCACTGCGCACCTGCGGCACAGAAACACCAGCAAAGCCTCGGGAGTGAAATCCTGCCCTGCCAGGGGTACTGGGGAAAAACCAGAGGTGCAGAACCAGATCCCACAGCCACGGGCCCGTGCGCAGAGAAACCTGATAATCTAATCACATCTGAGATGCTACAGCTCCTGTCCAGCCCAGCTCTGCTGCCAGCCCCCTCCTGCCTGTCAGCCCTCCTCTCGCCACAGCTTTGTTTCTTGCAGCCTAATGACTCCTTAATTCTGCAGGCTTTGTCCTATAGATCTTGATTTGCCCCAGGACCGGTGGGAGGGAGCACTTTTGGGAGCTGCTGGGGTGGGAGCCAGCATGCAGAGCTTGGCCTTGGCATGAGCAAAGCTCTCATCTGGTGTCTGAGCTGGAGGAACACTGCTCTTTTCCTGTTTGGAAAGATGGGAAAAGGCACAAACGAGCCCTAAGCATCCCTCAGGGCATTGCTTTGGAGAGACAGCGATTTCCTCCTGCACTAAGTCCTGCAAAGCCTGGGCTGACAGTTTGAGTGCTGCTGCTGCCCCACATTTCCTGATGGATATTCAAGTCCAATATCCATGTCCAAGCCCGTGACCTCCTCAAATCCCTTTGGAGAATGCCCCAAAGTGTCCCCACAACTGCTCGGTGCAGCGAGTTCATTGTGTCTTGCAGTGACAAAAGGTACAAGTTACACAGCAACAGGCGAGATGGAGGTGGCTGGCAGCTGCTCCTGACTCAATTAATGAGTTTTCCCTCTTATGTTCAGAAAAACACAGGTGTTTTCCACCTTTTATCCACATCATCCCTACCAAGCACCATGACCTAGTAGCTGGCAGGCAGATCCTTGCAGCACCTTGCAGGTAAATGTATTTGAGAAGATTGATGGACCTTGTGGACCCACTTCCCTCTCCTCCTGTCCACAGGATGCCGGTGCCCCTGTCCATGAGCGTCCCTGTAGGAGCCAGACCCCCAAAATCCCACCAAATGGGAAATACAAACAATAAACCCCAGAAGTGCATTTTCATAGTTTACTGTCTCTCAGCCACAGGGATTTCTGGTGTTAGTTGGAAGAGTAACAAATGAAACATTTCCAGGGAGTGATTTGGAAATTGACGGTGCTGCAGGGGAATAACAACATATGCAGAAAGTGGGATCTGCCCAGGAATGATCTCCAAGCAGAAAATAAAAAGGGAGAATATGACAGCACCGAGTAATCTCAGCAGCTGAATTACACACAGACCCCACCATTCCATGGGATTCTTACCTCCCAGGAGGACTTTGGTCCAGTCTTCCCCAATCTCCGGGCACACAGGGATGTTGCAGACAGGTAAAGAAGTAATAAAAGAAAGGCCTCATAAAATCAGGCCTGCTCTGTTAAATCAATAGCTAGCCTGTCATTTCTTCTAAGTGCAGCTAGTACTTTGCAAGTTCCCATGTGAAAACGATCTGGGTATGAACAGTTCTTTAACGTAACAACCTTTTTTGGGTGAAAAATAAGTGCACCTGCATGAACATTAGATCTGTTCCCTGAGAACTCACAAAAGAAAAATGTAAACAACCTGAACCTTAGCACATACACACAAATCACCTTCTGGCCAACAAATGAAGTAGTAAGAAAACTACCAGGTAATAGATGTTGCAAATGAGGTCTGTTAAAACTGTATAAAATAAGTTATGTGAATAAAGATTTGGCTTTTCCCGCATGAAGAAAATGGAGCTCAATTGATTTATTCCAATAGATGAATCTGGGGTTGGGATGCCTAAGACGCTGTTTCCCCTCCTGACAGGACCTGCTTTTTCTCACCAACCTGAGGGCAGCTTTCAAGATGATTTAAAAGAGCATTATGTGTCTCCTAAACCCAATCCACAACACTTACACGCTTCCAAATGTTTAGCTCAGGTTGAAACCTGCTGCCATGGGAAGGAACTCCAGTTGGGATTTGGTGTTGCTGTTCTTTGAAATCAGGTGGAAAAAAGAGCTAAAATCACCAGAGTGGTTTGGCTGCCATAGAGCTCCCTGTGAGCTGTCTACTGAGCCACAGTTCTTAGGCACCAAATTCCAGAGGGATCCGTGGCTCAGCAGAGGGAGGCTACGTGCAGGTGAGCTGGAGCAGCTGTGCTTCCTCATCTTCAATTTTCCAGCTGCTGTTACAGAATGGCAGGGATGTGAATGGGATGCAGCACTAACCCTCCACACTCAGCCCTGCTCCCACAGTCCCATGTCCCAGAATTATCATTTAAATCTTATTTCTCCAGTTCCAGAGCTCCTGAAGCCAGAATCCTGCTGTGAGGGCTCTGCAGGAGCTCTCACACTGGCCAAGCTGCACATTCCACTGTTTTCCTCCACTCCTCTTCTGTTTTCCTGTTATTTGCTCTCAGATGTTGTCACCATCAAGCAATAGCTCTGCCATCCCTCACAAACAGGTATTATCCAGCATCTGCTTGGGAAGCACAAATTCAAACTGCTTCAAAAATCCCACCAGACATATTTTTCCAAGGCAATGAGTAACTGCAGTCCCTGCTCAAGTCCAGAGGACTCACAATCAGGCCAAAACTCGCTCATCACCACACTGCTGAAGGGGTCTGGTATTAGCCTCGATTCACAGATGGGGAACAGCCACTGAGAGGGAAAAGCTGAGTTTCATGGATGTGAAAGGCTGGAGTGAATGGCCTTAAACAAAGCAGCCTGATTTTTCAGGAGCAACCAAAAGGATGGGAGCTGTGAGGGCTCTGGTTGTAGACTCGGGCACTCCCACGGGAATTTCCCAGTGGCTGGCCCAGGGGAGTGTGCACAGGTTGTCCCTGCTGCTCCTGCCTTCTGTTGCTTCCCAAGTGCTGCCTGTGGAATGCAAGGTTGGAGCTCACAGATGCTCTAAGGATGCACTGACACGACACAGAACCAGCTCAGAGGCATAAGTCCTGCCACAACCTCCAGCTCTGCATCTCCCCAGCACATTTCCTGCTCTCCCATCAAGGATGTTAAACCCAGGGATACTTAATGGAGACTCATCAAAGCACGGTTCTGTTTCTACATACTTTGGAGTCCCAACATAATGATTATTTTCTCACCTCTTTCGCTTTTCTCTCTGGGTCTCCCAGCAGAGACGGAAGCTAAGCCTGAAGTTGGAATGTTTATGCTCCACCAGGCATGGCACAGGGAGATCCTGATCTTGCTGGGCCCCTGGAAGCAGGAGCAGCACAATGGACAGCACCAAACTCCCTGTGGAAGTGGAGCAGCAGGACCAAACTACTCAGAGCAGGCTGAATACCACGTCCCTTGGAAACCATGGGGGGAATTTGGGGAGCAGACTGTAATCACCTGCTTGGCCTGGGCCCAGACCACAAGCACAAGCTCCTGCTCAAACCCAGCTCCCCACAAAAGCGACCCTTGGAATAGTGGCCAGGATCTCACCAATGTGCTCTTGGTGAAAGACACCACCTCGGTGTCCCAGTGCTGCTCTTGGTGTTGCTCCCACACTTTCCCAGGGCTTAAACATCACTTCAAGAGTTGCTCTGCAAATCCAAGTGTCCCTCAAAACTCCTGTCCCAGAAGAGGAGCAGCCAACCCTGTGATACTGCCAGAGAGGAAGCTCTGCCACCATCCCTGTGGGGACAGTGCTGTCACACACCCCAAGACACAGCTCAGAGAAAGGGAAGCAGGTGTAATTATGGAGACCATTGCACTTCCCAGAGGTGATGCCTGGAGGGAGCGTGCACAGGTGAGCCAGGCAGCTTGGAGCTGGTGGAAGCTGGAGGCACCACGGGGTTGTAAGAACAAAGCATCCAGCAGAACCACACTGGGGGTCCGATGGAGATCCAGCCACAACTCTCATCTGGGAGAGGAGATGGCTCCATACTGAGCCTTGATCCCGTTGATGCTGAGAGACACAACCAACCCATCAGCTTTCAGAACAGGGACTGTGCCCCTGGGCTGGGGACAGTCAGTGACACTGGGGGGAACACCAAGGTGGGAGGCACATTCCAGCACCCCTGGGCCAGCTCCCTGGGCAGAAAGGGTGTAAGAGCTGGAAAACAGCTGCTGCATACAGGGAAGGGGCCTGGCACCACGGTTCATCTCAGGTCACCGCTGGTCTAATAACAGCCAGGCTGAACCCTGGGCTGTCCCAGGAGCAGCAGCAGGACTGAGGCAAAGGTGAGGGGCCTCACACATGCCCCAGCTCAGCCTATGTGCACAGGGGTGCGCACAGAAAGGGGTGTGGGTAAGGCTAGTAGGGACTGGGGTGTCAGGAGTGAGGCAGCATGTGGGATTAGGGTGTCAGGAGAGGGGTGACGGGGATGGGGTGTCAGGATTGGGGTGTCATGAGTTGGGTGCTCAGACTGTGCTGGGAGCAGGGTGTTGGGAATGGAGTGTTGGGAGTGGGAAGACAGGAGCTGCCTGCGTGCTCACAGGTGTGAAGGGATGTGCAAGCGCTCATTCAGGCCAAGTCCTGCTTTGCCTTCTCTATCCCACCACCCTGTCCCAGCCTTCCCAAGGGCTGCAGACCTGTCCCACCATCACTGCCAGGAGAGGTTTGGGGAGCAGAGGGAGATCCCAGCCTGCAGGTAGGTGTGAGAACAGGGGGACCACGGTACCCCAACACAACCAAGCCCGCTGTGGCCCAGCTCACCCGGGACGCCCCCTCGTACCTTGCAGTCCGTCAGGCAGGATCTGACCGAGTACTCTTCCGATTGCAAGTACTTCTCCAGCAAGAGGTCGAACTCCTCGTATTTTTCCTGAGCGTGTTGGTCCAGCCGCTGGTACGCCTGGACGCAGCTGCTACAGGCCTCCCCGTCCAGCGCCCCGGCCGCCGCCACCACCAGGTCCACCATCAGGTTGTCCAGGCTGCAGTCCAGCCCGTCGGGGCCGGCCATCTCCCGCAGCAGGTCCCAGATCGTGTAAGTATCACAAAAGGAGAGGTTGAAGTTCCTGAAGTAAGCCTGCAGGAAGGTCCTTTTGGAGGAGGGCGAGGCGAAGAAGGGCGCGGTGGCGGCGGCGGCGGCGGCGGCGGCGGCGGCGGCGGGGGGCGAGCGCAGGGGCGCGCCGGGGGCCCGCGGGCGCTGCGGGGCGAGCAGCCGGGCGCACGCCGAGTCCAGGTCCCCGCGGGCGGCGGGGCAGGGCCCGCCGGGGCCGCGGCTCAGGTTGCCCAGCAGGGCCTCGCAGCTGCCGCCGCCGCCGCCGCCGCCGCCGGCTCGGCCGCCAGCAGCGCCCGCGGCCCGCGGCCCCGCGGCCGCTCCCGCGCCCGCAGCTTGGCCCCGGCGCAGAGCCACAGATGGTCGGAGAGGAGCACGGTGAAAAAGAGCAGCGAGGCGAGCGACAGGCGCCATTTCTGCGCCCGCTCGGGGTCGGCCACCGGCTTGTCGCTGCGGCGCGGCGCGCAGCACACGGCCCCGCCGGCGGCGCCCCCGCGGGGGGACATCCAGGCGCCGCGGATCATGCCGGGGGCGCGCGGGCCGCGGGCGGGCAGCGCCGCGCTGCCGCCGCTGTCACCTGCCCCGCACCGCCGCCATGCCCGCGCCGCCCCCGCCGCGCCCCGCCGCCGCCGCCCGCCCCGGCTCCGGCCCCGGCCCCGGGCATGCCCCGGCCGCCCTCACTCGGCTTTCCGCTTGCCCCGGCGCGGTGCCGGGGCCGCGCCGCGCCCGCCGCCGCCGCCGCCCGGCCCCATCGCCCTCAGTCTGTCGCCATCTTCGGCCGCGCCGCCAACACCTTGAGGAGCCGCGAGCGCTGCGCCTGCGCGCTGCCCGCGCTCCGCCGGCACCGGCACGGCCGCGGCCCGGCCCGGCCGGCGCTGCCGCGGTGCTGAAGGACAGCTCCGATCCCCTCCGCTCCTCTCCGCTCCGCTCGGCTCTGCTCCGCTCCGCTCCGCTCCTCCCGGCCCGGCCCGGCCCGCCCGGGACACCCCCGCGCCCGCACGCACCCCGGCAGCTCCGCGCTCAGCCCCGTCCTCACCCCCGCCCTGACCGTCACCTCATCAGCGCCTCATCCGCACCCTCAGCCTCAGCCTCTTCCTCATCCCTTCGCCGCTACTTCACCCCCACGGTCATCCTCACCTCAGCCTTGCCAACATCTTCACGCTCATCCTCATCCTAACCCTCACCTCAGCCTCACTTAAATCCTCATCCTCATGCTCACCTCACCCTCACGGACCGGCCCCATCCCCATCCTCATCCCCATCCCCATCCCCGGTGTCAACAGGTCCCAGTGGAGAGGGGCCCTGGGGGCTCCAGCAGCAGCCACACACACGGTGCTGTCCCCTCAGAGCAGTGTCCCCTCACTGCCCACACACCTTCAGCCCCACAAAGAGCCCCCAGTGACTTCATTTCTGAGGGACCAGGAGAGGGATATCACCAGACAGCAAAAGCAGCTTCCAGGGACGTCGCTTATTCATGTCCCTAAATCCCTGTTAGGGGGTTCTTGGAATGGCTAAACCCTGAGAGACCATCAGCTCCCTGGGAGTGGAAAATAAAGAGCAGCTGAGGGAGCTGGGGGGGCTCAGCCTGCAGAGAAGGAGGCTCAGGGGGGATCGCCTGGCTCTGCACAGCTCCTGACAGGAGGGGATAGCCGGGGAGGGATCGGGCTCTGCTCCCAGGGAACAATGGACAGGACAATAGGAAATAGCCACAAGTTGCACCAGTGGAGGTTTAGCTGGATATTACAGAAAATTTCTTCACTGAAAACAGAGGCATTGAAATAGACACCAAGGGAAGCAGTGAAGTCACCATCCCTGGAAGTGATCAAAATCATGGGGATGTGGCCCTTGGGAATATGGATTAATGATGGCCTTGGCAGTGCTGGGGGTGATGTTTGGACTCAGCAGTCTCTGAGAGCCACTCCAACTTAAATGATTCCATAATTTTATTGACAGGAAACCCTAGTGTACATGGAACAGAGGGCAGAGCCTGCTTGGAGGCTCCTTCTCCATCCACAAAGCCATCCTCAGCCTCGGGCACTACCCTGGCTGTGGGAATTGGTTCAGGTCTTCCTATTCCTGGGGTTTTCCTCAAGCTCTGTCCCAAAGTGAACCAGTTCCTTCGAGGCCATGGGGTGCTGGAGCTGGTCACCCGAGCTCCCTCAGGAGAGTGGGATCCTGCAGGCACAAGGAGACACCAGAGGCTTTATCCTTCTCCTGTTTATCATCCTAACCTGTGAGGAGAGCAAGCCCTGTGGGAAAGGGGCTCTGTCACCTCAGTTAGTGCCATTAGTCACAGAGGCCACGGTGTGTGAGCTGCTCACGCTCCAGCAGCTCAGCCCTGGCTGAGGCACTGAGGGAGGGAAATACCTGGTGCAGAGCCAGGAGAGGTTTTACAGCCGGAACGAACAAATGTTGAACATCACCGGGAGTGATGTAAGGATCTGCAACCCAGGCTGGAGGCTCAGCTCCTCTGAGCCGTGGCACAGACACCTGTGACTCCCTCAGGGGCTGCTTCCCTCTGGCTCTTCCACCCCATCCCTTGCTGCTCCTCCAGCATGTCCACGGCCTCCTGTGGGAGGGGGATGCTGGAATAGCTGAGAGCGCTGTTCCTGTAGGTTTGGGGTTCCTGGGGTGGGTTTCTTTCCCAGGACTGCCTGTGCCTGCTCTGTACACACAGGATCAGACCGGCATTTGAAGAATAACTGGATGGTTTGGGTAGGAAGGGACTTTTTAACATCACCTTGCCCATGCCCCTGCCATGGACAGGGACAATTCCACTATCCCAGGTTGCTCCAAGCCCTGTCCAACCTGACCTTGGACACTTCCAGGGATCCAGGGGCAGCCCCAGCTTCTCTGAGCAACCTGTGCCAGGGCCTGCCCACCTCACCACCCTCACAGGGAATAATTTCTTCCCAATATCCCATCTAAATTTCCCTTCTCTTTAGTTTAAAGCCATTCCCCCTTGTCCTATCACTCCATGTCTCGGGGGAGTGGTGCAGGCAGGAGATCAGCACTGTCCTGTCCTTTCCAGGTCTAGGAAGAGCTGAGACAGCAAGAGAGCCCCTCCAAGCCTTGTGCACCCCATTAATTATGGGGCACTGAGTCCAGCAGTCCTTTCTTTCTTGTTTCCTATCTGTCCCCACAAAGCCCCACTTGTTCTCACCCTTTTTCAGCTTTCTCCCCTGCTGAGGACTCAGCTTTCTTCCTGCCCCGGCACTCCTGGTCCTTTTGTGTACCTGGAGCTGAACAAAACCAGGAGGGAGGCCATGGAGAGGGTGTCCCACGGAGCCACCACTCTGCCCATCCCTGATCTCAGCTCCCCTGTGCTCCCACAGGGCTGTGACAGAGCTCATCACTCCCATTCCCATCGGGAGAGGTTCATCCACCACAGAGCCTGTGCCAGCTCAGCGTGAGCTGCTGAGATGAGGCTGCACCAGCCCTGTTTGCTGACGGCTCCGTTTCCAGGGCACAGCGCTATTTCCACCCAGGAGTTTCCTCTGCCTGGGAAAACATTATCCGCTCCTCCCACTCCCTGCCAGACCAGCGGCTCACACACGACCCTTCAGGAGAGAACAGCTTTGCTCAGCCCTCCTCTGGCTCCTCTCCCTCTGCTGCTGCTGCTGGTGCGCTAAGGGCAATGTTGTATGGATGTTTTACTGCCAGGATCCCAAGGGAAATGTGCTTTATGGAAGCTTTTCATACTCCAGGCAGATATGAACAGGCTGGCACTCAAGTCCTGGTTCCTCAGGTGGGAGAGGCAGCTCTGCCAGCCTCTGCCTCAGTGCTTGGGAAGATTCCCTGGGGAATTTGGAAGCAGATCCTTGGTGGGGATAACTAGGAAGAAAATCACCATCAGCACGAGGTGTTTTCTCACTGCCCACTGCTCCAGCCAAGGCTTGGCCTGGCCTTGGCAGAGGGCTTCAATCATGTGTTTTTATGGAATTGTGATCGCACCCCTTGTTTGTAATGGGGTGACAGTCCTGGCAAGCCCTGCTGCCCCCCAGCTCCCAGGCAGGAGTTGAGGGACATCCCCAGCTGAGGACGGCACTGGGGTTTTTTGGGGACTCTCCCAAGGGATGTCCCCAGGGTGGGATGTTTTGCTGGAGCCAGAATGCAGCTGAGATTGCTTTGTGCAGAGGGAGAGGCTCCGAGAGCTCCCCAGAGAGTGAGTAAATCAAGGATAATCAGATCTAATGGCCAAAATGTGGGGAAGGAGTGGACATACTGGACATTCTTGCGATGAGGCTGGGAAAGGCGGGGAAGCGCTTGGTGCCCGGTGTCAGACAGCAGCAGTGCCCTACCAGTACTGCCCGTGGGACTCCCTTGTCCCCTCCTGGCACCAGGCTGGGAGGGGATGGCTGGCCCCAAGTGGGGGCTCAGGGACCCCTTCTCCAGGGGTACCAGACGGTTTTGTCCCGCTCCCATTCACAAACCCCATTCCCGGCTGGCTCCGTGCCCTCCTGACCTCGGTGGCCTCCTGTGGCGCCGTGTTTGGAGGCATCTGCAGAATGATGACAGCAGCGTCCAGCCCTGCTGCTATACGGCCCTCCCGGGACAGCCCGGCCCGCCAGGCTCCTCCGGAAAGGGCTTCGATTGCTTCAGCTCCCGAACAATGGGTGCTGCCGCGGCTCTCAGCCAGCCTCCAGGGCACGGGCTGGTTTTCACAGAGTCATGGGATCACTGAAGTTGGAAAAGGCTTCCAAGGTCATCAAGTCCAACCTTTGACCGATCTCCATCTGGTCAACAAGCCCAGAAGACTAAGTGCCACATCCAGTCCTTCCTTAGACACTTCCAGAGATGAGGAATCTACCACCTCCCTGGGCAGCCCCTTCCAATGCCTGACCACCCATTCCATGGAGAAATTCCTGCTGCTGTTCAGCCTGAGCGTCCCCTGGCACAGCTTGGGGCTGTCCCCTCTCCTGTCCCTATTCCCTGGAAGCAGAGCCTGACCCCTCCAGCTGCTCCCTGGAGAAGGTCCCCTCTGAGCCTCCTTTTCTCCAGGCTGAGCACTCCCAGCCACTCCAGGTTCTCCAGACCTTTCCCTCTGTTTGGTGCCCGACCACCCTCTAGGGGAAGAACCATTTTCCAATACCCAACCTAAGCCTCCCTGACACAGCTCCAGCCATTCCCTGGTTACCAGAGAGAAAAGCTCACTCTCTGTCCCTCACACTCAGCTGCCATCAGGCCGTGGGTCTAAGGGGTCTGGAGAGCGGTGGCAGAGGTGGCACAGTGGCAGGGGTGGCACAGCAAGCTATGACAGCTGTGAGCCAGGGGCACGGCTCCCCTGGCCGGGCTGGCTGCAGCCCCATGCTGCTCCCAGCTGTGAGCGCTCGGAGCAAGGGAGGGGAGCAGCGAGAGGGTTTTACAGCCCACAAGAGCAGATGTTGCTAATTGAGCCTTTGAGTTCCATGCCAAGCCATGGCATGGAGGCTCTGCCCGGCTTTCAGAACCACTGCCAGGTCCCTGGCTTTGAAGATGGTGGGGGTGGGAGAGGGGGCTGGTGAGGGGGGTCATGTGTGGATATTGGATTGGGCACAGAGCCCGAGGCCAG